AAATGTTTTTATTCTATTATTTAAATTTTAATTATTTACAAAAAAAATTCATTATATTTATTATATTTAAAAAGAGAATAAAATTTCGTATATAAGTTAAATGAGACATCTCAATTATGATAGAAATTACTAAAAAAATTGTTAGTGAAAATTATTTGGAGCGCTTATTATTGCATATGTTTCAATTTAAGAAAGTTTGTTAAAAAAAAAAAAAAAAAAAAGAGAAGATAAAGATAAAGAAAAATTAAGGGGGACCTTAATGGTGGTTTATGGAAGGGATATCATATCCTCACTTTTTTTCATATAGAAGTAAAAGATAAACTCACAATTTGATGCCTCAACTATTGTATAAGTTTTGGAATTAATTCTTAAACTTAAAAAAAAAAAAAAAAATCTATTTTGGTTTTAAAAGTTTAAAATTTTAGTCTTTTTTGGTTCTTCTATTAAAAATTTACTAATGTGACTTGTGCAAAGTTAAGTGTCATTAATTTGTAACTAAATAAAACATTAAAGTAATTAAATGTTAAGAGTGTTAACAATTAGACAGTCGCAGTGCAGCACAGCCCCCTTCCCTTCTAACAACTTCCTTTGACATTAGGTTGGCAGGATTCCAATAGACTAATGTGACTGCTTACTTGATGAGAAGAATGACATGTACCAAAATTTTTTACATGTAGGATTGAGAGCATGCATGGTAAAAAGAATGAGATGGGGGAAGAAAAATTTAATGTTCCCTTTTCTTTTTCTTTTTTTCTTTTCTTCCTTTTTCCCTTTCTCCTTTCTCTTCCTTTCCTTCACCTTATGTAAATCATAACTCCTTAACCTACAATTGCCCTACTTTTTTCTCCATTAACCTAATCAATTCGAAGAAGATAAATTCACACTTTCCTTCAAAGACCCACTGAAAAGTCTTTAAAACTAGACCAAATCTAACTTTGCTAGCCTTTACAACAGATTCACCTCCAATTTACCCCTGTGCCACCTACAAAGATGGTTGCATGTACAAGCTTTCTCTCTCTAGTTTCTTTCACCAAGGTACATTTCTCCTTTTCTCTCAAACTATACCAATCTTCAATACCTTGACTTCTCCTCCAACTTAATCTCCAAACCCATCCCCCAATATTTGTAATACTTGGTCAATCTAGCAATTTTGAATCTCTCCCACAATCGACTTGACCGTGAGATTTTTCCGTAGCTTGCATTGTTCGCTTACCTAAACGTCATAGATCTTCATGACAACTTGCTTTTTGGGTAAATTCCTTAGCAATTGGGTCTCCTATACACCTATATGCTTTTGATGTTTCATTAAGGACTCATTTGGTATAGCAATTTTAGAGCAGCGGTTAATGATTTACCTAAATAGCTAAGTATAACTATTTGATAAACTTATATATTTTAAAATCGCTATAAACAAGATGTTCGCTAAAAATTTTTATTTAGCGATTTGGGACTAACGAATAACAGTTGAGGTCTAAATCGCTAGCGGATTGAAAAATGTAGTTTATGTAGTTTTTTGTACCAACTTGGTAGCAGATTAGAATTTTTTAATTCTGTTAACAAATTTATCCATTTTAATTTTTTTATTTTTTATCACAATTTTTAATCAATATTTATCTAATAAGTTTCAATTTTTTTTTTTT